CAGTGGCGTATATACGAATTATTTTCATTATGGGCCAATTTATCACTAGTCAAGCATAGCACTGCTAACATAGCCATAACTGTACATTTTTTAGGGAGCTTTTAGGACTAATAATTATGACATATACAAATATACAATACAAATAAAAATTTCGCAATTTCATAATTATTATGTAAAATTAATGTTTTGATTATTTTTAAAAAAAAAATTGACAGTTTCATTTGTATATTTTAATGTTATTTTACTATGAATATTGAATTTAACATCAAAGCAAGTCTTGACAATCTGACATTTCCTTGTTGATTTCTCAAAAACGATTTTAATCAACCCCTCGAAATTAATCACGGTGAAAAACTGTAAACAGTGTAAATATACATGCAATGCTTTAATTGAACCTGCAATTTCACTATGGGCTCTGGCCTAGGGGGCCTCCCCCCTATATACGCCACTGCTACCCAATATATTATTATGTTCTGAAACATTTTTAGTATAGCATTCATATTTTGATCTATCATTGAAAGAAATAGGTTAGTAATATTTTTAGTTTTTATGCTACCTAACAAATGATGTATGTCTTTCAATTGAATTTCTACTATGATGGTATCATATTTTTTTTGTTAAGATCAACGAGTAGATGAAGAAGCTTTCCTAAGTTCAAGTGAATCTATGGTACGTGAGCTTTGTCTTCCTATTGGACATCGGTCCAAAATATTAAAGAGAATTAATGAATTCAAATCAAAGTTATCATATCTAATGCTCAAGTAATTATAATTTTTTTTAATGTTTTCATGAGTCATATTATATTGCACATTTGTATCTTACACTTAATTCTACATTGTATCAATAAGAAATCAAAACGTTTAACACTTTTAACTAAAAAAATAGAATGCTAATATTTCAAACATAATATTATGTTAATTTCTACATTTTTTTTTAATATCGAGTTAACTTCTATAAATTAATAAAATTCAACATGGGATTAATAAAATGTAGTAGTATTATGATAAAAATATTCAAATTAAATTTTGATACTCGATAAACCATAATATAAGAATAATTAATAATATAAATGTGTAAAATACATTGACTCTAAAATATAAACTCTTATAAACCCAATATAAAATATTGACTCTAGGATACTGGTGCCGTTTCAGTTCTATTATCGTATTTGAAGTTTTATTTTATAGGAATTTTAAATATTAAATTAATATATTTTGATAATAAATGTAATTGATAAGAATCGTATAACTAAAACCAATGTTAAGTATGCTATTGTACTAATTGAAGTTTCAAGTGCAATAAGTGCCAATAACCAGCTAACTCTATATTATATTTTTTTTCATTTTTAGATAAGATACGTAAAACAAATGAATACTTTTTTTTTGTTTGTTTATTTAGTGTTTTATTCAATCTGTTACACAAAGAACAATAAGAACAATTGATGAATAATAAAAGTAACAAAGTAGATACAACAGATCGTAGAAGTCTCAAGTGAATACTTAAATTTCTAATGGAGGCATGATTATTTTAAAAATATATTTAAATTATTCATATGTTTAAACAGTATTATTATTTATTATAGAATTCATTAGATTCCACTACGGACACGTTTGTTTTTAACATTTTTGCTAATAGTAATTTGAGCGATGTGAATGATCTATTGATCTCCCGGGTAACTTTTGATGCCGAATCATGTATGCATAGTATGCTTTTCTCTCTTGTTGATTTTATCATTCCATATTTAAACACAGAAATTAATATAACTACATTTTAGGTATAAACATTGCCAATCAGGAATGTGCTAGAACTGGTGGAAATCTCAGCACCAGCCCTACTGAAATACATCATTGCACCAACTTAATTGATAATGAACACAACAACACCAGCTCTAATGGAACAGATTTCACTAAGTTTATTGATACAGAGAGCATACGCTTTCCTAGAACAAGCCATACTGATACACTTAGTAATACTCGTATTGATACAACGATCAGCACCTTTAACAATATTGATGTAAATCATAAGCAAAATACTATCAACACTACAGTACGTTTATCAATTATAATTTAATTTTATGAAAATTATTACCACTTTTTTTTTAACGTACCTATTGTACTGATTTACATACTTATACATATAATTTTTTTGTTACAGACATTGGATGCATCAATTAACTTGAACGATTTTTAAACAGTTATCATGATGGCCAAATGCTTTTGAAGACTTGTGAATCAAGTAACAAACTTAATGGGTTGGTCGGAAATAAATTGACCCATATTTTGATTACACATTTATTTAAAAGTTTAAAGTAACAAAGAAAAAAAATACCTACTGAAAAGTTGAGTGCATTGCAGTAGCGAATCCAGAAGTCACCCAAGGGGGGGGGCAAATTATCAAAAGTAAATTACTTTTTTGTTTAGCCACATATTATAATATAAAATAACGTTAAAAGGACAGCCCAAAGGAGGGACGAACGCCCCTTTGCCCCTCCCTCGTATCCGCCACTGTTGCGTTGTCCCAAGAAATTTGTTTTTTATTTCCTCAAGAAAATAAGGACATATATTACATTCCTTATAAAAAGAAGGGAAATATAGTATCTCCTGCTAGAGAAAAATTGTGGGATAAATACAATAATCAAACAGGAAAGAAAACAGAAAAACAAGTCAGAATTTGACCAAAGAGATTTCTACTGAAAACGCTTTTGTACCCAGTGCAGGTAATTTGTGTAATTTGTTCAAAATTTAAATAATATATAAATTTACTAATATTAATGTTTTTGTTAAGAATTAGCAGAATATATAATATGGCTAAAGAATAATATCTCACCGTGGAACACAGTTGAAGTTAAATGGTTGAAAACATTTTCAGAAAGGTATAATTATTTATTAAAAAATAATGACAAAAGCAGTTGTTATCTGCCGCTCAAAAGCCCACTTGGTTTTACATTGGTTAGTATAAAATTTACTTAATAGTTAAAAAGTATTTAATTAATTTTCATAAGAGTTTAAAAGCATACTTGATTACAGATTGATTTGGATTTTAATCAGTTATACCCCGAAAAAACACTGTTGTTGTTTAGCAATTTTGAAATTTTATAAAACAAATTACCAATCTTTATTACAAAAAATAACATCAAAGAAATTGATAGTAAACTTCGATCATAAATCCTATAGACTCTGGTAAGTTTTAACTAATTATTATTACATTATAAATGCGGCTCTTAACTATATAATATTATGTACTTTAATAACGAATCAATATCTTAAAAGTTTTTTTATTTAAATCATAATAAGTATATTGGAGGTAATTATTTTGTCCAATTCATTTAGTTGATGAATCTTAATAATAGTAACATTTTCATAAAGTTCTACAAATGTCTGTTAAATTTACATTTTTGTTATGACTGCTACATAGAATAATAAGCTTTTAAAATTATTTCTCAAACAACATAATTTGGTACTATTTTTAAAGGCTACTAATCATATTTTTATTTTATTTTACTTTATAGCTGAATAAGGTTTAATGGGAGGTCAATGAAGAAGAGGTTAGGTGTTAACTTTATATTACTTCTTTGTAATATAGACTATAGAATTCAATTTTGAAATGTTGAAGAATAAATTTGTTTGACATTGATTTCTAAAAAATAAATGTTAATAGGTATTGATACAGTTGCTGCTCTAAAATTGTTTGTAGAACTGTTTAAACCAAAAGAAGTCACACCAGAACAAAAGAAAATGTATTAGACATACAGCAATCGTTCATTTATTATGTAAATGTAAGAATTCATACATTTTATTTTTAAAAATAAATTTACTTTTTTATTTAATTGAGTAATTATAGTTTGATTTTTTGTATAGAATGTGTCACAGTTGAAAGAAGTGGATAACGAAAAAGCAAACAAAGCATTAAGAACAGGAGAAAGACTTCAACCATACATGGTTTTTTTAGAAACTGACAGTCGGGTGACTTATTTTTATGTTGTAATTAATAAGTTTTACTATTAAGTTGAGAGTGCCTTAAAAGCTTCTTCTTCTTCTTCTTCTTCTTTTAGTTACGGCCCTTAAGACCATCCTGAAAACACTAAACTTTGCCACCTATCCCTGTCCTCCGCTACTTCTCTCCACTTACTCTCTCCTAAACCCACCCTGGTAGTCACCTATTATATTTTCGGCCTTGGGAACTACTCTATCAAGTAGACAATATGATAAGACTTTATATGCCGTATCTAATAAAGCAATACCTCTGTAATTATTGCATTCTTGCGGGTCTCCTTTTTTATAAATCCGACAGATCAACGGTGTACCCCAGTATTTGGGTAGTTGTTCCTCAGACCATAAATTTTCGATGATATCATGTATTCTATTTATTGCTACCTCATCCAGATTTTTTAGAGTTTCTCCCTGAATTCCATCTTCTCCCAGTGTTTTATTGTTTTTTAGTCTATTTAATTGATTTACTACCTCTATCCTACTAGGAGGTGGGCATTCACTGTCGTTAGGGTCTGATGATATCCAAGTGAAAGTTTCAGGAGGGTTCTCACAGTTAAGCAGTTGGTCAAAATACTCTCTCCATTTTTCTATAATCTTGTAAAAGCCTTAAAAGCTATCGATATATATGCTTCAAATATTTTTTTGTTTTTTATTTAAATTACCCAATTCAATGTGAACAAATATGGTATTTCATACAAACATTTTTTTCTTTGACATTGTTACAAAAAATGTCAGAATGTTAGCTTCATAATTAACGAACTAGATAATTGTTAATTAATAATAATTTTGATCAACCTTAAAAGGTAAAAGGTTTGAAGGAAACTTGTAACAACTTTATTTTCATTTGTATTTAAAATAAAGTACCTAATTAATTATTATTTTTATTTTATTTTTAAAAAAAATTTTAGAGCCATCTTGCTTTATTTATTTTGTTCGTTTAAATTCTTTTAAATATCTAATCAGGCATATAAAATTATTTCATTCTTTTGAAAAAATTGTTGAGTACAAATCATGGAATCATGTTTTAGAAGTTATGACCCTTTTGATTCTTTTAATAGACATTTATTGACCCGTACAACTGTACTTAACCAAGATGTCTGTAGTAATATTCATGTAGAACCACTGATAATTGATACTTCACATGATACATGTAATGAAGCATTAATGTTGGTTAATAATAAAATTCCCCGACGTGAAATATCTATAGAGTCATTTAAGAGACTAGTTACTAGCGATGCAATAATTCTTATATCAAAATGGTACAATGAAGCTGTTGTGCCTAAAAACCAATTACAACTTCTTTTAGGTAATAGAAACAAAAACATCACAAAAGATTATAATATTGTTATTCAATCTGTAAATGTAAATATTTGTTTTATTCCATTAAGATGTGTCTTTAAAATGTTTTTTGAACAACCTTTTGTATTAAAAACAGTTCTTGAAAATTTCTTGCTCTTCTTTTCATTGATTGTAAGGAGTTTGGAAATACATATATCTTTAAAGAACCAACTAATTAATGAAGTTAACTATTTACAAAACAATGATATAACTGTGAATGTGGACAATGAAAGTTCCTATATTTAAATTATATTAGACAATGTGCTATTATAGTGATATTACCTAGGTGGCTAGGTACTTATTGAAATGGCATAATATATGCTTTATACTTATAGTTTAATAAAATATGTTGTAAATACTGATTATAGAATTGTTATAATAATTTAATATGTAATAATAACAATAAAGAATATCCGTATAATTTTAAGATATATTTTAAAAATCATTGTTGTAATATTATATTTTTTAATGGTTTTAACTTTTATATTGAAGAATAATCTGTCAAGACTGATATCTTTTTTTAAGTCCCAAATAATTATGTACTTAGATTTTAAATATATTATTATCAATGATTAATAATCAATAAGTCTTTTAAATAGAACATTGCACATATAAAATTTAAACTGTTTGGAAATCGTCTTCTGTTTCTTAATATAAGACTAAAAAATTAAAAAATTAGGACCTTAATGAGTAAATAAAGATTATAATAGTAGTTGTGAGTTCCAATTATTCTAAAAGTTAAGTCATAAATTATATCAGCAAACTATATAATTTTAATGTCTCATATTATAATATATTGTTGTGTATCAAATTAATATCATTAGACGTCAACCAATATAAGTAGGCATGAAATGTACAGAAAACGTAATTTTTTTCAAAAATATTATAATTTGCACACTAGCTGTGTATGCATTATTCTTAAAAAAAAAAACAAGTAAACAAAAAAATGCAGGATGATACAATATTATTATACCACTAATTTGTAATATAAACGTGTTTTGGGTAGGTTGATTCTAATGATAATAATACATTGGTGTTTATGTTTGAGACACATAAAATAAATTCGACAAGGTTATTATTACCTACTTATTAGAACAAAAATCATTTTTATTTACAATAATAAAAACGATCAAAAAAACCACTAACCAATCTGAAGCATCTGACCATTTACTTTAACATAATGTAATGTGTATCCAAAATAACACACTAGTTGCCATAGTCGTGGATGGTTGGTTTAACTATCCCATTTACACATTTAGTTGACCAAGTAAATAAAATAATTATAGCCTCTACAGTGTGTATATATATATACAGATTCTGCAATAAATGGAGAATAAATTGTTTTTATTATGCTTTATATTTTTTTCCAAACGTTTTTGTATGACAACCTACTAACAGAAATATTCAAAAATATTTATGTATAGTTAACATTTTAGCTAACTCAATATCAAAAATTTAGTTTTACAGGACGATTCACCAAGCATGCTCAACCCCATTTTCTCGTTTAATAATATTCAAAATATTCTGATTTAGTAATTTTTAAATACGCTCAAACATCATATTTTTTTGTACTTCTTAATGACTAATGAGGGTCCTGTGGCGATACAATTTTCTGTGAGATAACTTTCAAATGAGAACCCCCCCCCCTCCCCCATTTGTACTGTACATAATATTTTAGTGGATAATTTTTTTGAACATTTTTATGTACTTAATTCAAATTAGTAGTTTCTTAGTTATTAGTTATTACAATGTTTGTACAATAGTTTTTAAAAATGGTTTTACAAAAATATAAAATAGATGTAAACTTCGATCTAGTATTTATCAGACTTTGCCCATCTTTACAAATTATTAATATTGATTGATATATTATTATTGACTAAAACTGTCAAATCACCATAGCCCATATATCTTATATACCCATTAACATGGAAATTTTATACTTAGAGTTAAATAATTCAAAAGCTAGTCGAACGAATTTTGAATTTCAAAATGTTCAAAAAAAAAAAATTATTCAATGTGTATAATTTATTTATAGTTGAAAAGAAGGGGTGGTGTTCTCATTTGAAAAACAGATGTTTGTATCTTCACGGGATACTCCTTAGGTAGTAGAAAAAATCTCAAGAATTAGAAAATAGTATAGTCTCAGAGTATACTATTTAAAAATTCAAAATATCAGATTTTAAAAAAAACCGCATTATTGAAGTTAAAAAGGGGGTTAGCATACTTGTTAAATCACCCTGTATATTGTGCAGTTGTTGTTTCAACGGAATATTTGTTTGTTGAAAATTAACAAACATCGACTGTAACTTCTCGAAACCGTAATTACAATATTATCATTGTAATGGTATAACCATGTGCATATGTACACATTACTGACATTGAGATTGTTCCATGCACTGACCGTTTTTTTTTTTTTAATCAAATAAATGTAGGTTTCATTAGAGCAAATTATTTTGTTTTTACTTTTTCATAACCGTAATGATATTACCCAATTTCAGTTCCTATAATATAAAACCACGAACTAATAGTAATACCACTGTAATATTATTTGCAGTAATCATAATCTCTTTAATGTAAATGTAAACGTATAAAAACCACGACAAGACGTAAAGTGTTGCCTAACTAATATGTGACATGCAACACATCTAACACGAATGTCTCGGATGATAATATTGTTTATTCGTAAGGAAGAATTAATATAATATATTCTATAATACTGTTCTTACGATGACGTATGAATATAATATAATCAAGGTTTTGAAATTGCGTGTGTCATGCTAGTTCGCGAAATATTTAATTCGCCAATTTTTTATTTCCACTTTTAAATTACAGTTGGGTACTACCTACTGCAGAATTCTATTAAGTACAGATTTTATTACACATCGTATATATTATGACTCGATGCACATCGCGATATGACTGTAACTTATTAATAACTAATACTAATACAAAATCAAATTATTCACGTTTAAACTATGTACATATATGCGATTTGAAATTTATACCGTCAACACATGGTACAATAAAAGCATGAACCTGTTGATGCGATTGTTAACAGTTTTGGATTTATATTATTCGCGGGGAATTGAAACTTTTTGACACTGCGTATTATATATTATTATTTACTGCACACGATGTAATTTTCAAAAAAATCAGATTCATTAAGCTATTTATATACCACGGACCCGTTCACACCGTTCTACGTACGTCGGTATTGAACGTTATATAAGTTAATAACACCTAACAATATTATTATACGAAATAATATCACAATAATTATAATACTATATTACGATACTTTGTTTTTAGAAAAATGTTAGTTCGTCCCGAAAAGAGAAATAATAATAACTAATAGCAATATAAACGGATCAGTGGCGTAGAAAGGGTATGGCGAACTGTGCCTACGCCAGGGGCGCAAATTTGTGCTTTTAAATTGGTACTTTCGACATTTCTTTATTACCTATACGGCTATACATTTTGAAATGTGTATGATTTTGTTTATCTTGTTTATCTTTAAATTCGTGTTTCGTGTGTGTGTTTGTGAACACTGAACATCGAGCTTATCGTTATCGGATCGCCCGTGGCCCGTCTATAAAGTATATTATTATATTATTTGTCGTCTATGTATCAATAATCTAATTATAAATATGTTAAAAATAAATATATTAATATTATATTAAAAATTACTTAAGATCAACTATTGGACAAGAGAGACTAACAAGCATGGCAATTTTATCCATAGAACATGAATTTGCTAAACAAATTTCATATGACGAAATCATCAATGAATTCTCTAGCCCTAAAGCAAGAAAAGAAAATTTTTAAAGTTTGAAATTTACATTATCATAATAACTGATAGTTAAATAATATTGTATTACCTAATTTTTATATATATAAAAAATAAATGTTAAAAAATATCATTCCGTATTTTCGTCAATTTTTTAATCGCTAAAAAGGCGCATTTTCCTAGGTTTGCCAGAGGCGCTAACGAGTCTTTCTACGCCACTGAAACGGATTATAAAATAATATCCTTAGAAATAATATAGGCTGATAGACTGTCTCGGTTGAAAACAGTTTTTTGCATACAATGATCTATTTGAATTCAAATTTATCACATCCATTACAGTGACGTTGAGTAATTATGAGTTACACTCGATACTACACTCTACACAGCAGAGCGACTTTCCCGGTTTTTAAATTGGATAAATACATTTTTTTTTCTAAAACACACTTACGAACAGTGTTTACCAGTGAAAGTTTATTTAATTTTAATATTTGTTGTCAAACTTCTAAAACTTTTTTCTTTATTTTTTACTCGAGATAAAGGCTTCAACAACTTATGGTTATTAGTCGACAATTGTAACAAATGTGAACGGGAATAAAGTATTTACAGGTATTTACAATTCATGGTTTGAATGGATGTAATGGAAACATTTTTATATTGCTTCAATATATTTCTTCGCTGAAGGCAAGTAGGAGGGATGATGGGTTTTTGAAGTATTTTCAAGGAGTATTTTGGGCACCTATAGTGACAATGTGGTCTATCGAAAGGTTCTCCTTGCACGTGTCTCATACTGGACTACTGGAGCAGGTTGTTTTGGTGACAAGGAAGGAGTGGGTGAGGTGTTCGTGAACTCTCTAAAACTATTTAGCGATTGATAAATAAGTTCAGGCAACGAAAAAATATATAAATCAAACAGACACAAATCGTTAAGGTTTTCTGGCAGAATCAGAATAATAATGTTTCCAATTTTAGTAAAATAACAAAATATGAGCACGCGCATTAACTAAACACATTTTGCAATATATTATTATATTGACTTTTTGTTGTAGGACATCAGAATCTTATCAAGTGTTGTAGTAGTGCACTGAAAATACTTACAATATATTATTTTGATTTCGTTCATATGGGACGTTAAACAAACGCGTTAGCCCGATTAAATGCTCAAATTTGGAGTGATATTTACATCAAGCCGTAAATATAGTTCGACATTACAAGTGTATAATACGAAATAATATAAAACGTTGCGTATAAATATATTATATACATTATCAGCTTTCTAATAATAACTATTTATTTCAGTTACGACCCGGTGTTCTGCCCACATCTCATTCGATTACACAAAGTTTAATACTACTCGAACTCGAGAGCAGTTGAAGCATTTCCCAATAATGCGTTCTAATAATATATGTACATATAGGCCATAGCAATGCAATAGGTGTGTATCAAAGGCTTAGAGTTATTG